GTTGCTTTTAAAGAGTGCAGTTGCTTTTAAAGAGAATCTCAGAGGAGGAAGCTTCACCTGACAAGCAAGACGCACAGCTGGGGGCAAGAGACAGGTCCCTGGATGGCCTTGGGCAGGAGTTGGGGGTCCCCGCTGAGAAGGCCCTGGGGGTCTGAGAATTGGGGGCTCAAATTGGAGTGAAACAGGACAGCGGGATGTGGGAGGGTGGCTCAAGGTGACTTTCTGGATCCCGGGAAGGGGACTGCCGGACAGGAGGAGGGAAAGGCTGCGCTTTGAAGGGCACGGCGGAGTGCAGAGATGACAAGTTTCCACCCTTTGCGCAGCAGCAGCATCGCGAAATTTAATCTGGAGCAGACAGCTGCTCTTACCCTAAAATTCAAGGGTGGGGAGCTGATTGCCGAGTTGGGATAAAGCCAATTAAATTAGGTATGGAGACTGGAGCGGCCTGCCTACCTGTATTGTATCTGCCTATTCAAACTGATGGTTGTTTTTTATTATTATTATTTTGTGGTTTAATTGCCACTATATTTTCAACCGCCCTGACACCTTGGAAGTATATCCACTTTTGTCTAAACAAATTCAGGTAAAACAGTGGCCAGAGTCAAGTCTAAACGGTGATGGGAATGGTGATAGGGGAATATATGTTTGATTAATAAGAAGTTGGGGGTCCACGTTGAGAAGGCCCCGAAGGTCTGAGAATTGGGGTTCTGAGTGAAACAAGACAGCTGGACGTGGGAGGGTGGCTCAAGGTGACTTTCTGGATCCTGGGTTTCATTTCATGAAAGAAATCTATCTGTGTGCTCGCTACGAGTCCACACTGGCTTGATGGCACTTAGTCAATCAGTGAGCATTATTGTGCATACGGTAGAACATCTACGCATAGAGCCTGCGGGTTCTCCACCTTTGGGAGATTTTAAGAGGTGGTCCTCTCAAGGAGGATTTAAATGCTTTTTCTGCATATTGGAGAGAGTTGCACTGCAACAGATCAGCGTTTCTCAACCTTGGTGACTTTAAGATGGGTGGACTTCAACTCCCAGAATTCCCCAGCCAGCCTTG